CTCTGTCTCTGTGTGTGTGTGTGTGTTTGTGTATCTCTGTGTGGGTCTCTGTGTGTCTCTCTGTGTCTCTGTGTGTGTGTCTCTGTGTGTGTTTCTCTGTGTGTGTCTGTCTGTGTCTCTGTGTCTCTGTGTGTGTGTGTGTCTCTGTGTGTCTCTCTGTGTGTCTCCGTGTGTCTCCGTGTGTCTCCGTGTGTCTCTGTGTGTCTCCGTGTATCTCTCTGTGCCTGTGTGTGTCTCTGTGTGTGTCTCTGTGTCTCTGTGTGTGTGTCTGTGTGTCTCTCTGTGTGTGTGTCTCTCTGTGTCTCTGTGTGTGTGTCTGTGTGTCTCTCTGTGTGTGTGTCTCTCTGTGTCTCTGTGTGTGTCTGTGTGTCTCTCTTTGTCTGTGTGTGTGTGTCTCTGTGTGTGTTTCTCTGTGTGTGTCTCTCTGTGTCTCTGTGTGTGTTTCTCTGTGTGTGTCTCTGTGTCTCTGTGTGTGTTTCTCTGTGTGTGTCTCTCTGTGTCTCTGTGTCTGTGTGTGTGTCTCTCTGTTTCTCTGTGTGTGTGTCTGTGTGTGTGTGTGTCTCTGTGTGTGTCTGTGTGTCTCTGTGTGTGTCTGTGTGTGTGTGTCTGTGTGTCTCCGTGTATCTCTGTGTCTGTGTGTGTGTCTCTGTGTGTGTGTCTCTGTGTGTCTGTGTGTCTCTCTGTGTGTATCTCTGTGTGTCTCTCTGTGTGTATCTCTGTGTCTCTCTGTGTGTGTGTCTGTGTGTCTCTCTTTGTCTCTGTGTGTGTGTGTCTCTGTGTGTCTCTCTGTGTGTGTGTCTCTCTGTGTCTGTGTGTGTGTCTCTCTGTCTCTGTGTGTGTGTCTGTGTTTGTGTATCTCTTTGTTTCTGTGTGTCTCTGTGTGTCTCCGTGTGTCTCTCTCTGTGCCTGTGTGTGTCTGTGTGTGTGTCTCTCTGTGTCTCTGTGTGTGTGTCTCTCTGTCTCTGTGTGTGTCTCTCTGTCTCTGTGTGTGTGTCTGTGTTTGTGTATCTCTTTGTTTCTGTGTGTCTCTCTGTGTCTCTCTGTGTGGCTCTGTGTGTGGCTCTCTGTGTCTCTCTGTGTGTGTGTCTCTCTGTGTCTCTGTGTGTGTGTCTCTCTGTGTGTCTCCGTGTGTCTCTCTGTGTCTCTCTGTGTGTCTCTCTGTGTGGGTCTCTGTTTGTGTGTCTCTCTGTGTCTCTGTGGGTGTCTCTCTGTTTGTGTGTCTCTCTGTGTGTGTCTCTCTGTGTGTGTCTCTGTGTGTGTCTCTGTGTGTGTCTCTGTGTGTCTCTTTGTGTGTCTCTCTGTGTCTCTGTGTGTGTCTCTTTGTGTGTCTCTCTGTGTGTGTCTCTGTGCGTGTTTCTCTGTGTGTGTCTCTCTGTGTCTCTGTGTGTGTGTCTGTGTGTCTCTCTTTGTCTGTGTGTCTCTCTGTGTCTCTGTGTGTGTCTCTGTGTGTGTCTCTCTGTGTCTCTGTGTCTGTGTGTGTTTCTCTGTGTGTGTCTCTCTGTGTCTCTGTGTGTGTCTCTGTGTGTGTTTCTCTGTGTGTGTCTCTCTGTGTCTCTGTGTGTCTCTGTGTGTGTTTCTCTGTGTGTGTCTCTGTGTCTCTGTGTGTGTTTCTCTGTGTGTGTGTCTCTCTGTGTCTCTGTGTCTGTGTGTGTCTCTGTGTGTCTCTCTCTGTGCCTGTGTGTGGTCTCGTGTGTCTCTGTGTGTGTGTCTCTCTGTGTCTTTGTGTGTGTGTGTCTCTGTGTGTCTCTCTCTGTGCCTGTGTGTGTGTCTCTGTGTGTCTCTGTGTGTGTCTCTCTGTGTCTCTGTGTGTGTGTGTGTCTCCGTGTGTCTCTCTCTGTGCCTGTGTGTGTCTCTGTGTGTCTGTGTGTGTGTCTCTCTGTGTCTCTGTGTGTGTGTCTCTCTGTCTCTGTCTCTGTGTGTGTGTCTGTGTTTGTGTATCTCTTTGTTTCTGTGTGTCTGTCTCTGTGTATCTCTTTTTGTTTCTGTGTGTCTGTCTCTGTGTATCTCTTTTTGTTCTGTGTGTCTATCTCTGTGTCTCTCCGTGTGTCTCCGTGTCTCTCTGTGTCTCTCTGTGTGTCTCTCTGTGTGGGTCTCTGTTTGTGTCTCTCTGTGTCTCTGTGTGTGTCTCTGTGTGTGTCTCTGTGTGTGTCTCTGTGTGTGTCTCTGTG